AGCGAAAGGGATATTTTCTCTAATTTTGAAAATTACTATAAAAGGAAATTTTTAGAAAAAATGTTGTGTACGGGAAAAAGTTTTTTTTTTTTTTGTCAAAAATTAATTTTTAATATTATTATAAAAGTAATTAATAATAAAATTAATCAAAATATATTTTTTATTGATGGACCTGGAGGAATTGAAAAAATATTTCTTTATAATATAATTTTGACTTATGTAAGATCTTCAAGTAGCTTAAATAGAATTACAATTGCTGTAATATCATCAAAAATAAATGTATTATTAATAAATGGAGGAAAAATCACTTATTCAAGATTTAAAATTTTATTAAAGTTAAAAGAAACTATTATTTTAGCAATTGATAAATAATTATAATTTATTAATTTAATTAGAACTATCAAGATTATTTTATAGAATGAAGTATCAATGATATATCATTATGCTTTTAAAGCTATTAATAGAACTTTTAAAGATTTAACAAATGTAAACAAATTATTTGATGGCAAAATTGTTGTTCTTGAAGATAATTTTAGACAAATATTACTAACTATTCAAAGAAATACTCAGGAGCAAGTTGTTGATATATGTTTAAAATCTTCTATTCTTTGAAAAGATATTTAAAATACACAATTAACAATTAATATAAGAGTTCAACAACAATATAATATTGAACAAAAAAAATTTGTTAATTTTTTATTAAAAGTTAGTAAAGGAGAAAAGTCTATATATTCTGATATTAGAAAAGATATAATAAAATTATCTGATAATTTAGTTATGAATAATAAAAATCTTGATGAATTAATATAACAAATTTTTTATGATCTTAATTTAAATTATCAAGATAAAAATTATCTTAAAAATAGGGTAATTTTTACAACAAAAAATATAGATATAGAAAAAATGAATCAACAAATACTTGAACTTATTCTTGATAAATCATTTGAATTTTTATCTGTTGATACAATTGAAGATAAAGAAACTATTAATATAAGTCTTTATCTATTAGAATTTTTGAATACTCTTATGTCAAGTGGAATGCCTTCTTATAAATTGATACTTAAAAAAATATTTCTGTTATATTATTATATAATCTTAATCCATTTGAAGAATTATGTAATAGTATCAAATTAATAATTAAAAGACGTCAACAACATTTAATAAATACAGAAATCTTAATAAGAATTAATTAAGGAAAAAGAGTTTTTATATCGCAAGCAAGATTAATTTCAACAGATACAAACTTTCTATTTTAATTAGTAAAAAGACAATTTTCAACAGATACAAACTTTCTATTTCAATTAGTAAAAAGACAATTTTCAATTAAATTATCTTTTGCAATGACTATAAATAAAGTTTAAGGTCAAATAATTACAAATATGGGATTATATTTATTTAAGCCAGTTTTTACTTATAGATAATTATATATAATTTTATCAAGAGTTCAATCAAAAAATAATATTAAAATTTTGGTTAAAAATAGACATATTAATGGAAAAGAAAAAATATATATCAAAAATATTATATATAGAGAAATATTTTTCAAATAATTAAATTTATAGTATTTTACTTTATAATAATTTATTATATTATATTAATAAAATAATTTTTTTTTAAAAAAATTAATTTTATTAAATTTAAACCATATACTATATATTAATATTAAAATTAATAAAATAAATAAATTATTAAATGTTATTAAAATAAATTACTAATTTAAAAAAACAAAATTTGATATAGAAAATAATATATATATATATATATAATATAATATTTTATTATAAGTTTTAATTTAAAATTTATAAATTGATTTTCTTTTTTTTAAAATTTAAAATTTATTTTTTTAAGCAAGTTTTTTTTAAATGTTTTTTTAATTTTTTTTTTGTTTTTTTTTTAGAATTTAGAATTTAAAATTTTTTTTAATATTTAAAAAATTTAATTATTTTTTAAAAAATTTGAATTTTGACTTTTATTTTATGGCCTTTAAATGAAATTTAAATATTTTTATTTTTATAAATTAATTTAAATTATAAATTTTTGAGAAGTTTTGTTTTTTAATTAAACTATTAATTTTTAATTTTTAATTTAATTTTTATTAAAATAAATAAATTAAATTAAATTTTTTAATTTATTTAATATAAACAATACTATTACTTTATAAATTATTATATTTATTTATATAAAAAAAAACTTGCTATCTATTAATATAATATTATAATTTATTTTTTATATATTTTAATATATAAAATACATTAGCATCTTTTTTCCTGAAGCATAGTCCAGGCAAACAAGCTAGTTATTATATATAATTAAACTTTTTTAAATTAATATATTTGAATTAAATCTTTTATATCATTATAATCAATTTATTAATATAAAAATTGACTCTTTACTATTTATTATAATAAATGAAAAAACAAAATTATATTATTATAACAAAATATCATTATAAAAAATATTATTATAAAAAGGTTTAACTGTAATTAAATTATATTACTAAAACAAATATACAATATTATAAACTCAAATATTAATTAATAAATAGTATCCTATATAAAATTCCTGTTTTAATTTTACTTAACAAAGTAAAAGGATCTATTTTTTTATTTAATTAATAATTAATTTTAATTTTTTCTAAAATAAATTCTTGTAAAAACATTTATTTATTACAGAATTAATATTTATAATAACACATTAGCTGTAAATTATAATTGATATTAAATAAAATTTATTAATAATAATAAAATAAATAATAATATATTGTATATAACTAATAAAAATTTTTTATCAAGTTCCAAAAAAAATTTTTTTTATAATTATAACTTATTTGTCTGTTCCCTAAAATAACACAAAATGCATGAATTATTTGAAGTGATACTGGAATTTAGAAATATGCGTAAATTGTTATTCAAATCAGGAGCGCCAAATCAGCCAATAATGCTAATAATGGGACAAATATTTTAAAACGCCGATAAGATGATCCTTTGTTTGTCGTACTTATAAATAAATAAACTTTTCACACGGTTTAAAGATCTCTCCTCGTAAAAAAAAAAAAAAAGAAGAGTAATGGTTTGCACAGACCGGTTTTCCCTCGTTAAGCAATCCATCAGCCCATCATCTATGAACCTTATTCAAAACATGATACCTTCACTTCCAGCTGATTGCCTTGACGGAATATTGCAATATTTGCATGACGACGCTGGAGCCTTGTACTCTTGTATGTTGGTAAATAGACTTTGGTGTAGAAGAGTGGTGCCAATCTTGTGGAGTAATCCTTGGAAAAGTAGACAACTTCTTATAGATCACACTCCTTGGCCAGCTATAGTGAGAACACTTTTATCCTGCCTTTCGGAAGAATCAAAACAAATATTGAAAAATAACGGAATAGAATTATCAGCACAAACCTCAAGACGTCCGTTGTTTGAATACATAGAATATTGTCAGTACTTGTCCCCTTATGTGATCGATATTGTGAAACGCGAGACGGTTGGAGACAAAACTCACTCAGGTCTACCAAGAGCTTATCGAGAAACACTAGTGGAGCAAGAATTTTATAAGATGTTCATGGCTAGAACTTTCTTAAAATGTCTTGCATTGCCAAAAATTTCATTATCATACTGTCCAAACGCAAACAAGTGCCTGGAGAACCTACGAGAACTCAAATGTCATACTGATCGATCGCCAGAGTTATTTTATGGATTAGCACAGGTATCTCGTAATATTTTACGATTGACTGTTTATCCATGTGATGAAGATAATGAAGGATTAGTGACACTGATCAAATTACAAAATGGATTACAATCATTAGTACTGGGATCATCGGAAAACTTTGTTAGCGAATGCCCAAGGACAGGATCTGCATTGACCACGCAAGCACATTCTCTGACGTGCATCAAATTTAGAGAAAGTCTGTGTATTTCACCTGACACCCTTCCGTCATTTGTGAACTTGAAAATTCTTCAGCTTGACATTTCGACGAGAATTCCCAATATGGAACAGTTAACAAAAACTTATTTGCCGAAGCTAGAAATTCTCGATATTTTCCGCGACGAGATTACACCTTTCCATATTTATTCTAGACTCATCGAGAACGCGTCACCAGGTATTCAGCGAGTTTATTGGGAAGCAATTAGTCCACCTTCAAGTTCTTCCGAAATAAAAAATTATTTTCGGATTCTATCCTTGTCCCGTGAATCCTTGAAATTTGCTTCTGTTTGGTGGGATGAGGAATGCATAGAGGATCTTTATGAACTACTTGTCTCGTGTCATCAGCTGGAGGCTATTAGGATTTGCTGCACAAATGATGAAGAATTGATATTAAATAAAGGAAATGAGATATTCGAATTGTTAAAAAGAGCAATACCTAGGAGTCTGTGTATACTAAACTTGTACGTTAAGTGGTCATATTCAGATTTTGCATTGCAAGATTTCTTGGAATCCAGGAAAGATAAGAACCCACTTTCATTATATCTAC